CTGAGGGTGTTGATAAGACCGATGCGAGGTCGAAACTGTAGTCCACTCCAGCCGGGATGAGAACAACTTTTGGGAAAGCAAGGCTGTGTGAAATTCAATGGAAATGTCAGCTCAACTGATATCATTGTGGAAAAATTCTTCTTCTGCTAGTCCTACATCACCTTAAACGAAATTAGGTGAATGCATCTCATATTACTGATTTACTGGTAGTCACGAAAACAAAACTTAATTTGAATACATCTAATAATATAATTTAAATCATTTTAGGCGACCTAGGCTTATTAGGCTCATATTCAAGCATTACTGATTGTCTCGAAAAATGCTCTGGTTAAGCCAATTTTCACCTGAAAAAGAGGATTCCACCGTCTTTTTCTGGTGGGCTTGAACTTTGGATCGCTTCATGTGACAACTACACTCTAAATGGACTGCTAAGTTGCCAAAACGAAGCTAAAACAACTTTATTCATTAAAATGTGACCTCGACCAAAGCTAAGACCACCTTGTCTCGGTCTTTAAGTGCATGTTTTAAAATGCTAGCTCAGCAAAAGATGAATGCTTTTTTCGCTATAATGCTAAGGATTGGTATGATACTACCCTCAATTTGTCAAAAGGAAGGTCGACTTTTGCCAATGACTGTTGTTGAGCACAATGAATTACAGCGAAACCTGTCAAGTGTTTATTTCTCGATGAAGGGCTGACGATTTCTTATGATGTTACTAGAAGCCCTATGATGATTAAAGCTCTTATTCAAGCTCTACTAATAGCCTCGAAAGCTTAATCAATGGGAACACAAGTAACGTTGTCAACAGCAAATGACTGCTTCAGTGACAATCCCACTATACAACTGGGACATGGAAGAGGTCTAGCCTGCCCTTAGTTTCATTTCTTCACCTTGACCGACTTGAATTCGTCGCGGTCTGACGTAGAGGAAAGGTTCAGGGCTCGATTTCCGTTTGGGCTTCTGATGAGACCCAGGCGAGGTCGAAATTGCTGTCCACTCCAGTAGGACTAGGCAGAATTAGACGTTATTACTAGGTTTTTGGAGTTCCGATAGATCCTATATAATAGTTGTATCCACCTAATTTCATTTGAGGTTGAATTTTTCCACAAAGATGAGTGGAAAATTGAACCTTAAATGTGATCGTGTGAATCAACTTTTCTGCGCCATTGACTCCTTCTCGGTTCACCGTGGGAAACGCATCATCGCCTCCAACGACCTTATTCCAGGTCGGCCGATAGTCTTGAAGGCCTACTAACTTTCGGTGGACGATCTCCTGAAGTCTGTGCAGGCTAGTCGTGCCACACCATCGTCAAGAGTTGTCGCCAAGTGAGGTGCTGATAAGCGGTGCAGGTGCCCGAAGACATTGCACATGTTCACCCGTCGAGTGGGTGGCCCTCGTGTCTGTGCCAGAGCCTCTGGCCTATACAAAGGACGAGCTCTGGTCGTATGTTGTGCTCAGTGGTCGTTTGTCTGCAGGTTGGGCACTCCGAGTTATCGGGCCGGCATCGAAGCAGGCAACGGGCGGGGGGTGCTTGCTCGAGGCCTGACAACATTAGCGAGCTCGAGGCATGTGTGTCCGTTTGCCAAAACAGTTGTCTACCGTCCGAACGGGCCGCCGACAATATCGGGCAGGTTGAAAAACATGCGCAATCCTCCGTTCTCACGCACGCCTGAAAGATGACAAATGCACCAAGCAAATGATTCGAAACAAAACGATTCATCGCAAACATGTGCAACTCAGCCGGCCAGTTTGATTAGGCGTATTTACGAGGTTTGTTTAAAACTACTTTTAAGCTCTGGCGATGCCTACTGCATGACTAACGAAGGCTCTCCACGGACTCAAAACTCGCTTCCTCTCAATGGCTTTGTGGTAGTAGACCATACATCGTGTCTACACAACCTTATCTGCGGAGGTGCGGCTTGCATTCCAGCACACCTGCAATTCATGCAAGTATCAGCAATTTGCTATGGTCTTTATTGTTGAACTTGTGAATGCAACCATGTGCGCCTAACAACGACATCACAATATGCACAGCAACGACATTATTATCGTCATTATCATAATAATTGTTGCTGTTGTTATGATGGTTTTTGTTGCTTTGTCGAATCCCAAATAGACAACGTACTATACCAATTGCTCATCACATGTCTCCACTAGTTTAGTGTTCCACAAGCCACTTGGCGGCTCAGGTCTGAATAAATGAGTTATCTTGAGTCGAATGAAGGGAAGCCTCTATGCAACACTCAACATTTGCTTTCCTTACAATGCACAGGACTGCTATTTTATGGAGGTTGTTTGACCTTGTTTTCGCAACATGGTCATATTGGTAGGAAGACCTGACCAAAGCAAGCAGTAGCACAACATTTGCGGGTTGGTGCACAAGAGACTAGGGCATGGCAAATGATAGTCTTGGTATTAGGGCTAGAAACAGGATAGAGACGGCGGGGACCGGAGCTAA